TTTTTTATTTAATAATCCATTTTCGAAAATATCCAGATGTGCATGTATGCAACTGCTATTTTATCACTTTACTACTGTTTATTTTCATTTATATTGTGGTTCATAAACATCGACACTGACATAACTTAAATGATAAAACAGGTTTTTGCAAACATTTTTTATCACGTTATAAATATTGTTCTAATGCTTCCCTGCATTCACTCGTACAAAACTTTATTCGATAAATTAAAGAAACGTAATTATATCTTAATAAGTTTTCAACTTTTCTTACTTTTTAAATTAATTGGAAATAAATTGGATCACTTTCAATGCCTATAAATACTAAAGTAGATAAAAATAATCAATAGCAATATGAATCTTGAAAATGAATTTTCTCGAAAATCAAACATTGCACAAAAATATTTATTCGATTATTTCGATTTATTTTTACACAAAATATCATATAATATTGTATAGCGTCCATACTTTAGCGACCTCTATATTAATGCTTTATATATTTTTAACCTGGATTTCATTAAATTTTTACTATTGTTGAATTTCAATTGTTTATTAAATCAGTAAAGATAAAAGTAATGCACTATTTAATTCACTTAATAAAGGCAATGCATATTAATATATTATGCAATATCTTACAGGCAATGATTGAATTTTACTTTTCTTAAAAAAACTATGTAATATCAGTACGTTTTCAATAATACGAGAAGGAAGAAAAATAAGAAATGAGGTGTACCTTATTGTTAAAAGTTATTTTCGTTCTTCCCGACCTAAAAAGCTTCTTTTCTAACACACTTCGTGGCTATGAATAATTTCATTGTAAAGTTTGTGTTCGGTAAACAGTAAAACAGTTTCTAACGATTGTAACACTGGTCATTCTTGTTAAACTGTACGGTTAATGAATTCTTTGTTCCAACAATGTTAACACGTTCTAAGAATATAATTACTTTTTGTGCCTTTTAGTAAATAGAGAAATTACTTCTCTTGCGAATTTTTAATGAAATTTACAAATAATATAAGGACTTACACTTTTGTGTAATTTGAAAATTTAAAATAATTAAATTTGAAAGGCAGCAACGCTAACGTTGGGAACAATTTCAGTTTACTGACTGACCACTTCACTCTCGTATTGTTTGTGGTGCAGCACTGTCCGCCACTGCTGTCACGGTTGTAACATGAATTCTCGCAATTTATTAGAAGTAAACAATTAAAAGCCTAACGTAATAAATTTCTAACGATTAATTGTATTTAAATCATCATGGATTATAAAGACGAGCAAGATAATGAGCTAGAAGCTTTAGAATCGATCTATTGCGGAGAATTGGAAAGTACGCAGGCATTGCTTTATAACCTATAAATTTGTTTTCATAGCATAAACTAATTAATTTCGTATTTTGTGTTAATTTTGAATCTTTTAAAAAAAGAAATTTCTTGTAGTTTTAGATGTAGAACCATTTTATACATTTGCTATACCTATTAATACTGAAGAATATGAGCCAGATACTGGAAACGGTCTTAGTTGTCGCTTGGAATTTACGTACACTGCTCAATATCCAGATGAACCATTATTAATATCAATAGAGGAACCTGAAAATTTTGAAAAAGGAAATGCTGAAAAATTAAAGGAGCATTTAATGCAAGAAATGAATGAAAATCTTGGAATGGTTATGGTATTTACACTAGTTAGTGCTGCTAAGGAATGGCTTAATGTACAGTGGGACAGAATAAAATTCAAAAGAGAGGAAAGTGCAGCACTTAAACTTAAAGAGGAAGAAGAAGCAGAAAGGGTAAGATATATTGAATATCTTGAAACTATTCAAGTGAAGCTAATTTCATTGTTACGGTTATAGAAAAAGTTTGAAGGAACACGAGTTACAGTTGAAACATTTTTAAGCTGGAAAGAAAAGTTTGATGAAGAAATGGGATATACAAAACGAAGAGAAATGGCTGATCGTGAAGTAAAAAAATTAACTGGAAGAGAATTATTTATGACTGATAAAACATTGGATCAGTCTGATTTGAAGTTCTTAGATGATGGTATCATTTTAACATATCTAATTTATTTAATTTATGTTAAGATATAAAAAATATTTGAATGTAATATAATATTGCTTTCTTAATTCTTAGATTCTGTTAAAGTAGATGAAAGTTTGTTTCAAAATCTGGATGATTTAGAATTAGAAGATGATGATGACGATGATGATCCTGATTATGAACCAAATGTTTCTGATGATAGAACCTAAAATAAATACACTATACGTTCCATGCTACTACTTATAAGATGATCCCAACACTCCTACTTATTAAATGATTATATACAAACTTAGTACTTGAAAGTTCACTTTGAGTACTAACATTTAGGGAGCACATTAGTGTGTTCAAAGTAAATGTGCCTGCATGAAATGAATTTGTTAAAATTCATTGGTGGTATTTGCATTTTATATTACAGCTGAAACATATTGACATCTCTTAAATAGGTAAATTGTACATATGAAGGGGCACTTTTCAAAGGGTGTAGCAAATTTAACGAAAAAAACCATTTTTATACGTTTGTATATAGTTAAATCTTCATAAAGTTTATTTAATAAATCAAAAGATATAACTTTTCTCGGGTTTAATCGAACAGTTTTTGCTGAAATCGCATTAAACTAGGGATATAATGAAATAAATGTCCTGTAAAGATCACGATTTAACATTTATTCATAGCCTTAGTGTGTAACTTATACGTTCAGTAACAAATTCTAACGAGCGAACAATTGTATTTAACTAACTTAAATTACGTTTTTTCTCGCTCGTATATCCGCGACAAAATCACGGGTTATATGCGCACATGGACAATGTAATTCAAAATAGTTTATAAGATAGGTGTTTCGTTATGTCTGTGATGTGGCAGTAACAATCAAATCGATGTTGTCCATCAATATTTCTGCTTCGCGTAACATATAGGAACCGTTTTACAGAATTTTCACTTTTGTATATTTGTTTAACATAAAAATGATCATTACAATACAGTACAAAAAATACAGTTTTTACATTGTTGTCTCCCTGTTTTTTCTCATCATAATGCTTATCGATACAATATGAAACTGAAGAAATAGTGCGACAACTTGCGTGGTCTTACATCATATACCTATCAGGATAGAAGACATTTTTGTGACAAGAAGTTTAATCTAAATACTTTCTATGATCATGCCTATCACTTTTCTTCACGTAATACATCGTGCTAAATTCCAAACAATTTTTTGACACACTTGTAGTTTTCGAAAAAACATTTGTTAATATATTAATTAAAAACTGAACAAAACCAATAATCTGTCATCAGTACATATACGTCACATAATTGCTGTAAGGAACAACTATTCACTAATTTCTTTTTCAAATAATTAAAGGAGAAACCACGATACTATGGTGGTTACGTTCTGCTTCTTTATCTTACGTAATAATCATCCAACTTAAAATAACAAGTATACATGTAAAGGATACAAATAAATAAAATAAATATATGAGGTGCGATTCTGAAATTAGTGAATAACCTACATACTAGTTAGACTCGTATACAGTGTCACGAAACATAATTGCAACATTAAATTAACAATAAATAAGTACAAAGTATCAACACGCAAAGAAGTTTAATCGAAAACTTCATTTCCCTGATGATTCGTAATTAAATTTTTGTTTAAAGGGTTATACGAGTGTAGCCATCTTTCGAGTCATTTTGTGTGAAATTTGACTTGAATTAATTTAAAACGACTGTGTATACGTTAGAGTAGTCGTCTTGTCTTTCGACTCGCCAACACGTCATAATCTGTTGGGAGAAGAACACGGTTAGTAATGGCATAATAACACTTTACTAATGTTTCTCGTTTAACCAAGCGACCGTTTGCGGATGTATCAAGCTATACCAATAGAAAATAAAGTCGGAACGCAAGCAGATCGCGTGTTTCAATCTTTGTTATTTAACAGTGAGTTCTCGTCGCTTGGCTAAACTCACTATGACATTTTAGAGTCTAAAAGTAAACAACAAATTCGTGGCAGCAAACATTTTTACGCATAGTATCCGGGCTGAGTAACCGGAATTTTGGCTAATTAATGATTAATCACACGTTATACGACACATAACAAACACATTTTATGCATGTACACTTTTATAATTTTCCTTCGAAATTAGTCATTGTACTGCATGCTAAACTCGACAAAATACATCCATTACAAATCTAAAATGAAATATTAACATCGATGGGAAGTGCTTTTAATACGTCCCTGCGAAAAATAGACACTTTTTAATACGTAGAGAAAAATAGCTCGTATCGTTTAATTTGTATGGAATTGTTTCACATAATAACGATTATTCAGAAAATACGAATACCGAGAATCTTTTTGGAACAAACACGTAATTGTATTTATACATCGAAGTACGAGATATTTCGTAATCTCGCGATATTATTCGTAAAATACTTTCTACACGTGAGACAATCAAAATAATTTTCGATCGTATTATCGGAACATACGGTCGACTACTTTGAACTTTAAATTTTAACTGTAGAACAGCGATCACATATGTACATATTTGGAGAGTGTGTTTGAGCAGGCGTAAAATAAGTCAAATCGTATATCAATTCAAACGAATTCTAATTACAAAGGCAACGACTAAATTGTATTTTATTTTAAGTCGAAAGCGACAAATCGTTTCGTACGATTTCATTACAATTTGCTCTTCTCTTTTTTATAATATCTTTATTAAAAAAGAACTTATATTGACAATAATGTATATATGTAGATATATAAAACATCACAAAGTAAAAACACGACAGCGCTACAACGTGCACCAAGTGCACTATTCATCTTTGGACCGAAGATTTGTTAGATTCAGGTAGGGTTTTATTTGAGGACGTATGCTTCAAGGAGGGACTAGGAGGTTCGGTCGAGGTTAGTTGGACATCATCCGTAAGAGAAAAGTCGGGTAACCTTGAACACACAGTATAACGTGGAGAGATTTGCTTTTATATCGAAAACACGTCATCGTCTCAAATTAACATTTGCAGGAAAGAAATCTTCTGAAAACTGAAAATGAATGAAAAAATGAAATTTCCATTTATATATATGAGAGCCTTTGTATTCGTGAAATTTTTTAGTTCATCTATTATCAGTTTAATGACCGAAAAATTTCACTCTACAAATTTCTCGTCTTATTAAGTTACGTCTACATGTGTGCGTGTGTTGTTACGACCGTATGGCATTGCAACGCCATCTCTCGTTGTCGGGGAAAAGAATAAAAATTTCTAAAGCAACTGAAAGATTCAAACATACTTTCCAAACACTAGCCAGGCATTTGTAAACAGTGCAAACTACGGTCACTCAAATACAGTGCAGTAAAATGAGTTCGTTTGCACTGTTTATAAATATTCGGTTAACTTTTCAGAATTATGTATCGATTTTTTCAGTTATTTTAATAGTTCACATGCTTTTCCACGAGAACAGAGGATGGTGTGGAAATTCGTTACGGATGCAACAGTGTATACACATATAAATATATAAATATATATATATATGACGCGTGTTACGCGACGCGCATGCGTGTCTAACGTAAAATCATAAATATTATTATACGATAATACTTCAGTCTATGAAGTAACATTTACTATTTTTTTTTTTTTTTTGCTTTTGTACAACAAAAACATAAGGTATACAAGTGAATAACAATTCCATAAAACTTTCTTTAAATACTTTCAATGGTTAATACCTATCATGATCCTGAATGATAAACTAGCAAATCCTAATACTGCATATGGGATGAAGGAGGACATTAAAATACTGCAATGTTAGCTTACTGCGACATTTGATGCTGTAATAATAGCACTATGTCATTGTTTTTCGTGCTTTAACACTTCGTGCAAGTTACATCATAAAAGCACTGGCATTAGTCACTGACAGAGTAAACAGTCCTTACAGCTAAAATTCTTTTACAACTGCACTGTTGCCCGTATTTGTGTCACGACCTGTCTTATAGTTTCAATGTAGGACATAGCGATAGTTTTTTTTTATTATCGATAACTGTAATAATGATAGCCTCTGAATATCCCGCTCGGTGAAATCGGCTACAAATGTTTTAAATCGTGGCGGATTTCTACAGTGTCTCTGGAAAAAAATTAACCAAGCTTCAGCGAGCTGCACCGAGGTCAGTCACTGATGAGCAACAAGCTGACGATAGAAGAATGTTAAAAGAATAAATTACACTACCATTTTTTCGCTAAGCAGTTACTATCAGAAGTTACAAATAGAAAGGAGTTATTATAAAAAGTTATTGTAAAAATAGGGAAGAAGGGACATTCTATCTGATGTTTATTCTGTTAAAAAAAGTTATCCATCATCTGTTATAATTGTCTCTTTGCAGAAAAACTGTATGCCAATTCTACTAAGTTAGTACAGAGCATTTTAAGATTAATTGCATTTACAAATAAGTGTAATTATTAAAGAAAAGACGTATATATAACATCTAGGTGCTGTTACATTTTAGAAAAAGAAAGAAAAAGAAAAGAAGAAGAGCACTAGTGCAATATTAGAAAATTAAGCATTGCAGAGCTGCAAGAGAAGAAATATTCAAAAGCTACGTGCGTATCAACGTGCTCGTGTTAGGTTGCCGATTATCACTGCTGTTTCAATTAGCTTTAATCTCACTATTTCTAACTGATACCACTAATTCCTATCAGCCTATGTATATCACATCATATTTCAAAACTGCAGATTATTGCTAAACACGTTTTTCTTCTATCTAAAGTGCCTTTACGAATAAATTGGAATATGCTATAAGGAACTTTGAATTATTCATTTTAGGAAAATCATATGTACTCACTTCTCCGGCAGAATACGCGGTTTCGCATAATCTCCTGGCCAGTCATAAACGTTTGGTAACGGACTGTCATAATTGGCATCGTACATTTTACTCACAATAAATTGCCGCTTGTCCTTTGGTTCTGGATACTCACTTGCCAATCCAGCTAAAAATTGGAACATTTTTTAAAAAGCACACTGATAGTACAAATCTCACAAAATTCCACTATAAATAAGAATTTGTATTGAGAAATTAAAATTGTTTGAAAATTTCTCTAATATAGGTACAGTAAAATCACAGCGAAATTACAAAACTTACTTTTCGCGTAAGCGTAATTAGCAATTCGACAGGCAATTTCAATGGAACATTCACGAATAGTACTCAATGGTGGATAAAGACTACCCATATCCAGATCTTCGTCTTTCACGTGATCAGCGACAGCTTGAGCGGAAATAAGGAACAAATCTTCGGTAATGTGATGGCATCCAGTAGCGATCACACCCAATGCTATTCCAGGGAATATGTACGCGTTATTTCCTTGTCCAGGCTTGTAGATTTTACCTTGGTAATTCACTTCGCCAAACGGAGATCCCGATGAGAAAATGCATTTTCCCTAAATTGTAGAAATTAGTAACTTTAGTAACATGTAAACCGTTCGGTAACAAAAGTTTGCAGAATTCAAGTAATTCAAAATAAAGCTAGAGATTAAGCCATAGAAAAAAATAGAAAGTGTGCTAAGAACCAGCCACTACAGTTCTTTTCAATCATGTAGAAAAAATAAGCAACTTATTACTTATAATATTTTAAGAAATTTAATAAGATTACTTTGCACTAATAATTAGTTTCTCTTTAAATTTTTTTAAAAAGTTGTATCCTCTTTAGTATACCTTACGTTTTTTATAGACATTATTGATTAACCTAAGCACAGCCTTGGAAGCACTTCTTTTTAGCCCTTCTTTGTGGAAATATAATTATAGTTTAATAAAAAGATTACAAAAGCTTTGTAAAGAAGTAAACGATATTAAGTATAAAGTAACTTTTAGAATAGCATCCCCCTAAATACATTCATTGTAAATTCTAATTAATGTAAAGAATCATCATACATCTGTATAATCATAAGCTTGCTGAGCTGTGCATTCTGCTTTGCTAGTTGGATTACTCAATGCAAAAATCAACGGTCTTTCATTGTTCTTGGCCATCTCTTTCAAGACTTCAGGAGTAAATGCTCCTGCTGCCGCTGATGCGCCTGTTTGGATATGTTTATTTTAGATACAAATCGATACGTGTCGATAAATGAAGCAGGGTTACACACCAATTAGAACAGTTGGTTTCACTTCCTTTACAATCTCCAGCAGCGATTTCATCACTTTATAATTCTTCGCATACCAGATTTTGTGACCTTCCAGGTTACCTTCTGGTCGATTTTTAACCAACAATCCATCGATATCCATCATCCAAATGTTATCACGAGCTTCCTGTTCCGTGCAACCGTCTGCTTCCATTGCTTTAACGCAGAGATCAGCTATTCCAATAGCTGCCTGTATTAGAAATAAAGTACACGTGAGAGGAAAATTGATTGTAAATGGTATTAATTTAATCTCTGTGTACGACGTAAAAGAAATTTGCATACCTCACCAGCACCAAGGAATACAAACTTGTTGCTAGACATTTTTTTCTTAGTTATTCTTTTAGAAGCTAAAATTCCAGCAACCGCAACAGCAGCTGTACCTTGTATATCGTCGTTAAACGTGCAATACTTGTCACGATATTTGTCCAAAAACCGGAAGGCATTATGGTTCCCAAAGTCTTCAAACTGTAGTAATTAAAAGATGTAAAATGTCTATTACAAGGAATTGAAATTTAGTAAAATTAATATTGTCTTGTTGTATAAGCATACCTGAATGAGAACATTTTGACCATATTTTCTTACACAAGCTGCCATAAATTCGTCAATTAATTCGTCATACTCTGCACCTTGACTCCTAGCTTTATTAAGACCGATATAATGAGGATCATCTCTCAGCTGTTCGTTATTCGTGCCAACGTCTATTGTAATTGGTAAACACTGATGCGGCTTTATGCCAGCTAAAGCAGTATATAGAGCTAATTTTCCTACGGGAATTCCCATTCCGCAAGCTCCTAGATCGCCGAGACCCAGAATCCTCTCTCCGTCTGTTACGCAAATCGCACGTACAGCTTGCTCGGGCCTGACAGTGAAATATAGATTATTATTATTCGTTGAGATTATATTTTATGCCTTGTATGAGAGATATAAAAAGATAGGAGCAAGAATTTAATGAATTTGAAAATTTTTAGTTTGATTCTTGAGTATAATAAATTTGAAAATTCTCAATTTAATTTAAAATTTAGAAAATTTGGAAATTCTTCATTTAATTTAAGTGTTTCATAATTTTGAAAATTCTTAATTTAAGAGTTTGATAACTTTGAAAATTCTTAACTTGATTCTTGAGTATAATAAATTTGAAAATTCTTCATTTAATTGAAAATTTAGAAAATTTTTAAGCCTAATGAACTGTGCTACGTTCAGATACTATAAATTCAAAGTAAAATGAAAAATCTCTGTTTCAATCACAATTCTTACAAAACAGGATATGTTTTATCTACAGAATTTTCACACGATACACATTTCTTCGATCATCATTTGATATCTGAACACATGATTCCGTAAGTCAAGCGTACACGTGTCAACATATGTGTTCTAGTTTAAACGAATGATCAGAATACACAATTCAACTGTTTTTCATTCATCATTGAATATTAGAAGTTAAAACATTCTTTAAAAAATGAATAGTAATTTCATAACTAAAAACATCCAAAATCAGTTTCTTCCAATTTTTCAAAATACAAACCAGTTGTTCAAGATTTCGTAGATATGACCTTTATCGTATATCGTGATAAATAATCCACGAGGTCTGCGATAAATAACGCCAAACTTTTGACAGGCTAATCCGACGGTAGGAGTATAAACAATTGGCATCATTTGCTCGATGTTCTCGCTTAACAAACGGAAGAACAATCTCTCGTTTCTCTCCTGTGAAATAGCCATACATTATCTACAATTCGAACCTTCTATTCTTTTATTTTTTCATTTTAGTTTACCTGCAGTTCCACGAGGTAAAGATACCGATTTAAGTCCTCGGTGTATTTCATGACTGAAGCCTTGCACAGAGCCAGCTGTTCTTCCTGAGTTTTGAATCTTGGAGGCTGCAGACCGTGTATACCCAAAGATATCCTCTCTTTCAAAGTGAATGCCAAGCCCTGTATAAAGAATATGCAATTTTTCAGAATTTTTTAAACGGTTAAATTTGACGACAAGTGGTCTGTGGTATAAAAAGGGAAGTGTATTATTAAATTAACGTGGCGAAGGCTGAGAAATGTGTGTAGAATGCAAATTTACGTTGAAATGAATTTTACAAATGCACATGATACTTTTGCATAAGAATGCATTGAAATAAAACGAGCGACTTTACTCAGAAACTGAAAGTCAGAGAGTGAGTCGATTAGAGCTAGAGTGTTAATCAATGGAAGAAACAGTGCAAACTGAGAGTTAAAAGCTGGTGAATTAGTTGTATTGTATTTTAGCTTCGTTTAAATTATGTATAAACATGTTTGTTGTACTTTTAACAGAATTTGTTTCGTATAATTTTTATAGTTTTGAATTAAAATGGTATTAAATCTGTGCGAAACATATATTACCAGTCGAAAGTATCAAATCACTGTGCATTGCAAGTTGCAGAAAAATTTCCAAAAAAAGTTGGCAATTTTGAGAATTTTTTACCATTCAAATCAATCGAAATAAAGTAAATTGCTATTGATCTTAGCAGGTGAGTCCAAATTTTTTATACAGTAGTGCATTTATGTCAAATACTCGTTTAGAAGAATGTTTCTCACAGGGCGTGCTATTCAGACACGAATCTTAAAATAAAACGTACCTTGTTAAGTCGAGGATCCCTCAAATGGCCAATACCTTTTACCATATTTATAGGTACGATATCTCCAGACACCTCGTGGATGTCTCTCTGCTGAACATCGTTCGCGGCAGGATGTGAAGATGGAAATACCCGCGTCCATGATCCTGCACAATTTCTACTGCTAGCCGATCTATTGTATGCGATAAAAAACTCAAGTTATTCCACCTCTTCTTCGTTAATATTCTCATTTTCATTAGTGCAGTACTGTCGGCCTTATAATCCGCCTTACTTTGCTACACGTGGAAAATTAAAAACGAATTTTCTGCTTTAATTCGGTAAATTATACGAATCACAAGTATAGTTTTCGTCTTTGTTACATATATTCGAATTTTTATTTGATTAAACTTCAAATTATTTACGAAGAATAATTGATAAATTCGTAAATTTAGTAACAGCTGATTAAAGGAATGGCAATGCTTGGTTTGAAAAGAATTATCTCTGCAAATGATTGAAATTTAATTCCTTCCTTTTAGGTTTTCAATTTTAGATCGCCTAATTAATCTGTGTTTATGTGTGATTAGAATAGAAGGGAGACTAGGTTGCAAGAAATATTTTTCAAGAAATTTTCCTATTCCTACTTGTAAATGCATATTTAGTTTTTTTTTTTCGTATCATTATTTAAATTAAACTGCGTTCAAGCATGTACAACAATATGACCTTTAAAGTGACAATTAACTCTGAGAATGAAATTATAAAATTTCATCGACACTGCACCTGTGAATGGCAAATGGACAAGTTTATTATCGCGCAACAGGTATCTAGAAAACCTGTTAAATTACCGAGATAATCTGTCACTTACGTTCTTCATTATCTTCATTATCGTGACAATAAATCTTCGAAATAATATCTGTCAACGGTACTCCAATACATTGTCTAAGACGACTAATCACAGACAATAAAGTCCTTCCGATTATTTCAGGATTAACGAAACAGCAAAAAACTCTAATTAATTTTTCTTTATATATTTTCTCGCGTTGCTGATAATTTCTTGCTTCAGTTTCCCTCGTTAGAAGACATCCAAAGGTGTGAGGAGATCCGGTGAGCCGCCATATTGTAGGTCCATTACGACCAATCCCACGACTAGGAAACTTTTCATTTAGAATCTGTGTTACGGCACTTGAACGACGAACTGAGCAATCGTTGCGTTGATAACACTCACTCATTTTTCTTTTATATTTTGTTGTGTCGATGGTGGTTCTTGGATACATTTCTTCCTTTAATTTTTTGCAGAGATGTGAGCAGATCTGAGAAATGTAGATTTGTCACGATCATATCAATGATTAGGAAATGTTTCGTTTAGAATCTGTGCTGCAACACTTGAATAATGTTGATATCTCGTCAATTTTCGAATTGCACTATTTAATAGTGTAATTTCTAAATTATTTTCATACATTTCTTCCTTTAGTTTTTTGCAGAAATGTAGATCTGTAACGATCATTTCAATGATTAGGAAATGTTTCGTTTAGAATCTGTGCTGCAACACTTGAATAATGTTGATCTCTCGTCAATTTTCGAATTGTACTATTTAGTGGTGTAATTTCTAAATTATTTTCATACGTTTCTTCCTTTAATTTTTTGCAGAAATGTGAGGAAATCTGAGAAGTGTAGATTTCTAACGATCATTTCAATAATTAGGAAATTTTTCATTCAGAATCTGTGTTGCAACTCTTGAATAATGTTGACATCTCGTCAAGTTTGTGGTGTAGTTTCTAAAAGTGTTGGAAGTGTAGCTTTCGAAAATATTGTACACTTCCGTCCATTTAATCTGCTATTTATAATATAAGGTTCGATTATTGGATTGTGTAAGATTCTACTCTAAACATTTATTGTCCATGGCCTCTGTCTGTCGACCAGACTTAACCACTGTGGATTTCGTATTGATCAATAGTGTGTTTCTTAAGTTCACTTAACCGTCTAGTCGATAAACGTCACTTTATTAAAATACTTTAATTCTCAGAGTTACATGTTATTCTAAAAGGTTTCATGCTATTATACATAGTTGGACGCAGATTAAGTTAAATTGCTCATAAATGGTGAAAGATATTTCGTCGACAAACATCGTTTTATCAAAATACATTAATTGGTCAGATTTGAATGTCATTTTAAATGTCAGTTTAATATGAACAGTATCGCGACAAAAAAAATTCACTTATAAGCGACTTTATTGTCCCAATAAACTCAATTAATTCAAAACCTCCATATTTTTCAGAGAGAGAATTCCTGTTACCCGATGAATAGAAAAAATGGCCACCCAAAATACCGAACCTTATTTCAAAAATTAAAATTGCGTTTGATTTTCTGTGAATAAGCATTTGCGAGAAAAAGGCACCGAATTAATTAGCACACCCAGTAGATCCTCACACACGGCTTAAATATTAAAAAAAAAAAGAGGATACATCGCAGAAGATCTCTCTCGTTTTCTTTATTATCTCATTATGGAGCACATTATGGAGCACCATTCGCGCTCTAGTTTCTAGCAAAATAGCGCTTAACGTTTGAACATCCGCTAGTTTATGGACCTTTAACAGAGATGTTTGCCAATTAGTATATTCTATCAAATGAGTCACTTGTGCAAGGTTTAACGAAATGATACGCATGGGAACAGGTCGAAACTGTTTCTCTTCTCCCAAAATGCTCGTTAATATATCGTTCGGAAACCAGCGTGATTCATTTCACGGCAATTCATATTTAGCGTTATTCTCGAAGTTTGGTCACGTTTGACCATCCTTTTTCCTTCGGACACTTGTTGCGGTGGAAAAGTTTGTCGCTCTATTTACGCGAGAAACGAAGTTAACAAAGTGCACACGAACGATTAGACGGTTTTTGGATTAATCAGACTGTCTAAATTAGACGGAATTTTAGACATTCTGGGTAGAAAAGTGAAGGAACAAGTTGTGATCGTATTAAATAGGCTGGTTTGGCTTGGTGCCTCGTACGAGATCGTAAATTGCTCTTCCTCTGCGAAAATTGATTCAATGATCGGCTCTATTACATTTACTCGACATTGGTTTTTAAGTTAGTGGTCTGATGTAGATACGTGCAATACCGTTGAATTATACAAATCAAAGCATCGTAACATTGAAAATTACGAGGAGAACTCGTATCGATTAAAGACACGCTGAAAGCAGTGCAATTGGAGAGGCCGAGTCCCATGTCAATAACGTGATATCCTATCATTTGATCGTGTGCAATTCATTAGACCGGGCTGTATATTAGCGTTCGAATAATGGACAAATTGCAGAATAAAGGCTGCTGTGGTTTTTTTGTGTGTGAAATTATTGGTTGAAGTATGAACGATTGTTCGAGATTAGAAATAAATGATTTTATAAAAGAATATTTGATAATTGTGTCTGAATGTAAATTAGGTAAAATATCTTCGAGAGAATAATTTGTAATTTCGAAAACTAATGATTTCATTATTTTACTGTAATTTTTATTTTCTTAAATTTTTATTTCTAAGATTGAGAATTGTCACGTATAAATAAGGTACGATAATTTAATTTTTGTCGCCTGACCTAGTATCGAAATTGTATTTAAATGTAAATTAGATTAAAGATTCTCGAGAAGATAATTTGCAATTTTGAAAATTAACGATTTCATTATTTTACCGTAATTTTTGCTTTCAGTCAGTTTTCATTTCTAAAATTGAGAATTGTCACATATAAACAACGTCCAATATTTTAATTTTTTTAAATAGTGAAATAACGAATGTCTAATTTGTAATTCTGAAAACTAACGATTCTACGATTTCACCATAATTCTGATTTTTATTCGTATTTCATTTCTAAAGTTGTTTATCTAATATTTCAATTCTTTTTCAAACGCTCATATGCATACTCGGTGAAAAGATCGCAACGAAAGATACGAAATGACCGATAATTAAAAAAAAAAAAAAAAAAAAAAAAAAAAAAAAAAAAAAACGAGAATACAATGCATCTAACTTTTCCTTATCTACCACTCGAATCCATCATAATTTTTCGATTAACCGTGAGTCATAGATAATTGGAGATCGCATAATAAAAGCTTATCGGTTCGATCTGGTTCTAACTAAACTATGGAATTAATCATGTGATTGCAATTGATCGCACACTTTATGGAACACATAGAATCAGGAAGCTTGTTTCGTAGGCGATATTTCTGTCAATGGCGGAAGAAAAGAATTGTATGTCACGTGTAAAACGAGAAATCATATGTATGTATAACTAGGTGCGATAACAATATTTGAAAAGAGAGCAGGGTAATCTATTAATATTTCAGTGGCATACAGCCAGATTTAAAGAAATATCTCTGTAAAATACAGTGGTACGAGTGATTGCACTCTGAGAGAAAAGAAGTTTATCATTATTTTATCTACAATCAATTGTCTCGTTATGAATCATTGTTATATTTATCAAGATTCAATCTGATGCTATTTTCCAATCGTAGAACATCATCTTTTCAGTTCTAATAATAAACAAATTCATGGAAAAGATATTTAAAATTATTCAGAAAAATGTAAAACAATAGAATGCAAATAAAAGGAGAAAATACAACAAGAACAGTGTACATGTTAAATTAAAAATAAACAAACTCGTGCAAAGGATATTTATTTATTTTAAGATAATAGAATGCAAATAGAAAAAAATGTAACAAGAACAGTGTACATATTAAATTAATAATAAACAAACTCACGGAGAAAGGATTTATTTATTATAAAATAATAGAACGCAAGCAAAAGAGTAATGTGAAAATTGTACAAACCATGTGTAAAATAATTGCAGCAATGTGTGTATGTACAAAGTGTTTGACAAGTAATTTAAAGCGACACTATTTTTAAATAATACTTCATGGATAATTGAACACGTTGAATTTGAATGATTCTCTACTTTGTCCCGATGGAATACAAATTCTCTGTTTTACGCAGCTCATTTGAGATCAGCTTTGCTCTCTATCACATCGGAGCCTTGGTCATTACGGTTTCCCCGTCATCAAATGGGTGCAGCTATGTGACAGCAAAGGCGTCACCTTCCCGGATAGAAGCAAAAGATCAGTTGTTATAACAGCACAAAAAATGGTGATCTACAATTTCATTTATCAGTTACACAAAATAGAAATGCAAATCGTGAAAAAAATAAAACAAAATTATTCCCACAAATGCTGAATAATTTTGGGCAATTCGTTTGTCCATATTTTAACGTTGAAATTGAAATAAAAGTAATCAAGGATAATGCTAATTTTGTAACACATTAAATTCCCTAAATAAAATGATTTAGTTCTTTTAATTTCTTCCAGATATGAAGGGCTGAATTGAAATTTGTTCATTGAAATATTCTAATGGAAGTAAACAATGTTAAATGCACAAAAATAATTAAAACCGACGTTGATAAATGTATTTTACATTTTCAAGAATTAAATAATAAATTTTTCCTGGATTTTTTAAGTAGGTATCTACTTTATCTAATTTATTCCTATTTTTTTGCGTTACTTTAGAATTTTCACAGAGGTTAAATTGCTTAGCATTTAAATAAATTTTCGAAAATTGCTACCCACTCTATATAACAAAGCCATGGGTAGACTGTATTATGTAAGTTAGTCGATTTAACGTATTACGTAAAGCACCGATATAACTTTATCGATATGAAGTGACATAAGGAATGATGTACGGCTGAAATTCCCAGATTTCCAATAACCAATCATTAATGACGCAGAAATGAACATTTTAGTGTGATTCATTCGTGAAACATTTAATATCCACGTGTGTAACGGGAAAATGCAAAATTATAGAAATCATGTGTGCGACAATAGCGATGAAAACGTTGAACTGAAAAAAAAAAAAAGGTGAATTTATTCAAATGTAAATGAAAAGGATACGTGCAGGAAAGTTTTATAACTTTTTATTTAAAATAGAACGTTAGAAATGTTTAATTTTTATTGCTTTTTAGTGAGATTAAGAAATTAATTGAAAAACATTTTTCTAATATCTTTTTTCACTACTTTTATTTTCAATTGAATTAAATATTTACATTTTTAGAGTGTTTTACATGTAAATATAAATAATTGAAGTTAAAACATAAAAATTATAAAAATTGATAAATAAAAAATAGAAATCAATATGTTTATTGCTTTGTATTTATAGGTCACCCTTGATGTTTGCTCGTTTTACCTATTTAAACTATTTTAATTTAAATTGTTACTCGTGGAAGCCACAACAGTCACATTACTTTTGATATCTTGTGACCTTGAATTACCCGAAGGTCGCTGTGAATCGATTTTCCTTGTTTTTTGGGTGAAACACGGTGTAATTCATACGCATAACTGACGAAACGTAATATAACCTCAAAATACCGGCGAAAGAATAAAACGAAGGTTCCATTACGAATTTTACCATGATAATGTAAATAGAAACGAGAGCAAAAGATTTGTCTTCTTCCTTTTCGTCCATTTAGCAATTGCTTCAAGTATACTTACTTCAAAGTGTTCTATATATCGTTGTTTGAACACACAAGTAAGACGCGATACTGTTATTGCACTTTATAACGTTTCAAATTACACGCTATGTTTGCAAGACTAACAATTACCGATTGCAAACAGGAATAGACAACAGTCGTGTAAACACTGAACGTTATTACTGTCATAATAACGGTATCATCCATTGTTTTTACAGAACAAAGGTACAAAAGAAAGAAAAAAACAGTTCGAAAAATTCCTCTTTGATATGTATATGTTTTATGAACGAACAAAAAACAAATTATCGTTCATATTTTGAAAACAATTTTTACAAAACATAATGGATAAGCAACGGATTCCGAGTAACATTATTCGAAGAAACATAACACCGTGTAACATAATATTTACCGCCCGACTTCGTGCGAAAACGTGATATTATCTAATTTTAAGAATTCGCCGAAAAACGCTCGACACCGTAGAGTTGACAAAAATAGATCGATGTGATGGCACATGTTCATTTAAGAAAATTTACGTTCAGCCGGCGAAATTCTGATTTCAGGACATATTTTGTAACGTAGCTTCACGCGCGTGTCACGATCGATGGAAAAGCTTGTTAAAACGACAGGTGCGCCAAAGGGAATCAAATAATACATAGAAGTATACCAAGTACACAATTCCACTGGGAAGAATGATGTAAAAGAAGTGTGAAACACGTACAAAGATCACGTTTAAAGAAGATAGCTCCGTTGGAAACGAACCCTTTTATTCCTCCAAATTTTTCAACAAGCGTTAATCGGGATTTTTTGAAAGAAAGGATGAAATAAGATGTATTGGAGGGGATGAAACAGAATGGTCCTTACACTCTTCTCACGATGTCGGCGGAAATCGGATGCTGTGGAGTGAAGGATGAAAGAGAAGAAACAGGTAGGAACGGTGGTAACGGACGGAATAATACAATTTTTTCGTATGTATATGGACGTGAGTTCGATACGATTCCGTTTGGCACTGCCCCACAGAACGCACGGTAATGTGGCCTCGTATCGATCGGCGGATTCCCAGCGCGTTCCTATTTTCAGCACTGCATTGCGGTAGAAGTTAGGTTACAACGGCCCTTCTCACGTATTCCTCTCGCTTTTTCCGCCTCTCTCGTCGATCTGAATCGGCGCGCACGTGCGTGCCTTAATCGTGTACCAGTGCAGCAAAGCAAGGCGGTCGGTTTAATTGAAACCCGCTGCTGGTATTACGGAATTTTATGGAAAAATTTTCAGGTACTCACAATATAGACCTCTGCAGGACGAACATCTCGCTCCTCGCGTGTTCACAGCTGATCGCCTCCCACCCGACAGGATCAACGCGCGACTGCGCGTTTTCGGCTAATCGTGACTACCAATGCCGACCCGTTTTACCCGCGCTCGCCGCCGCCGCCGCTTTGTCTACTCTCGCACACCTTCTTCCCTTTCGACTTCAAGTTCGTCCATGCAGCCGGTCACGCATACGACAATTGACGCTTTTACACCATACACCGTATTGCACACGCGCGTGATTCACGCATACGACCAGTGGTGTCCACACGTCGTTCGCGCACTTCTCTTGCAAACCTCTCTCTGTTGCGTACAAACAGTAACCGTAAGAGAGGCCGAGTGTGAGTGAATGGATGTGCGGAACATTTTAGCCAACGAGCCAACCGCGAGAATAGCCGAACTCACCCGACGAGGAACCAACGTACTTACTCGTTCCCCTGATAGCGTATCGAGACGAAACGTCGCGACGCTGGGCGTCGAGTGTGCTAACCTCCGAAGGAACTATTGAGTTAATTGGTAATTTCGAAACGTACCAGCGAGGAAGATAATTTGTAAAGCTGTCAGGATGGAGAATCGAGTCGATACGTTTGCCGAGGTAGCAAATACACTTCTTTTCTCTTTTCATTTTCAAACGAATTTGGAGGGAATTTTGCTCTCAATTGATCTTTTGCTTGATCGAGTGTTCGATCGGTGAAAGTTGTGAATGACAGTGGGGATATTTAACGTTAATTAGTTTTATTTCTGTTATCAATTTATTCGTTTTTAGAAACGATTGGTGGCTTGATAAAGTTTGAATACAGATAACACCTGTAATACGTGGAGCAATCTGTCAAAGTACCATCGTTTACCGTCGTGTGCCGCTGCATGTCTAGCTTCGTATCAGATATTTGATAGACAAGGCTCACCTATGATACCTCTATAATGAGATATTTATCTGATAAAATGTTTGAATTATTAATTAAGCTTGATTTTTTAAGTTATTAATTTTGACAAACAAAGGCCGTTTCATTTTAATCAACACACGTGAATATTGTCTAAACTATTAGCTATATTAAAAAATGTTTTAAATGAAAATTGAACGATTTCATTGGGAGTATTACATAGTTGGCACGACTGTGGTATAGGTAGCAGCGTTTCAAACATTTGAAGGTTATTACCATTTTTTAAATAGAATAGTGTATTTCTTTTATATAAAATTATAATTTTAGAAAAGACAAAAATGATGGATTTGCTAATTTCATTACAAGTAAAAATCGTTGCTAAAGAGTAGAAAGTATATATACACCTGTGTAAAAATATCTTCTCACTTATCCTCGACTAATCCTCGACTATGACGTCTGCCTAAATGTCTGTCGAGCACGTATCATATAATCCCAAATAACGGTATCATTTAGGTGCCGTTGATTAAAAAATTTGTCACGATATCGTTGTCTTACTTCGCTGTAACTTTTCCTGCATTGCCTCAATACTAAAATCATATCAGTTAATTCAACAATCCGTCATTTCCAACAATTACAACAGAAATTTACTTCGACACTGACGCACTCTCTAAATGCGTCAATTTTACGAGATAAGATCTCAGACGACTGTCTAGATCAATCATGTTCATAGAGACGCAAGGATAATTTTAAACAGGCGTTTCCTACTTTTTAGCAACGATTCTAAAAAGTGTTCTAATTTTAAGCTTCGAACTTACGCAAATTCACACAAAAAATTGAAGGGGACCTTGAAAACTTTGCAAAAAAAAACAAACTATAATCATCTTAAGGGCCTCTGAGCTATATTATACAAAACAAAAATTACATCGATTCACTAATAACGGAATAATTAAAAATAAATGGTTTACTCGGTAGGTATATAAATTTCGTTCGAAGCATTTTTATCCCAGTTTCATCTATGCAACCAGCACAGTTAGAATAACGAACACCGTTTTCTATTTCGTGATTATTCTCCGTTTTCTTTTTAGAAAAAATAATTTCGTCGAAGTATACACAGTGTCGTTTTATTAGAAGCATTTACAAGCAACTCGTAACGGAAGTTCGTCCGTATCCTAGTTGCTGCGAATTATTATCTCAAACAATTCTACTCGAGACGTTTACGCGGCGTAACAGGAGTAGTGTTCTCGTTTCACCGAAGTATACGATCTTTCGTTGCTTAACGATCTCGCGGCGCGGCGTTACAGTAGAATTTAGTATTCTCCAACGTCGTGACATGTTTTTTTTTTTAACGCAAAAAGAAGTTCGTGAAGCACGCATGGAATGTAGGACGTGAAATTGACGAACAGGTTTCCGTTTGTAAATCCACAAAGCGACTGTCTACGTAACGAACGTTTGCGGTAGTTTGGATCTATTCGATATTCTGCTCGGCCGGCCTTTTCAATACAAACGGTCAACGTGATAGCCAGTCAAAGTAACATCGTCTCTCTGCAATCTTTTACCAATACAATATTTGTGTCCGCATATTTCTACGCGTTCAATGTATTCTGAGTGTGTCTTGTATAGTGGCTGATATGTTATTGAAAAAATACACCATGGAAAGTGAAGTTTTTAAATAAAAATTTTTGTATTAAATTTAGGTTAAAATTATATCTAGTTTGTGTTGAAAGTATTTTTATCAGCGGCATCGAAGGGTGAGAAAATGAAATTATTGCACTGAAGAGTTGAATATTACAGTTATGATTAGGCTGCGGATTTTTGTGCATTTGTAGGAAATGTACAGAATGCACGTAATATGAAAAAATATGCAAATTGTAGTGCTTTCTGTAGTACCTGGCAGGTGAAATATTTTTCTACCTCAGTTTTAGTTTTTTTTACTATATTCTCAAAAATATGAATTTGCATAAAAATCCCAGTTATGATATTTCTCTTATACTGATAAAGAGTTGAATTGTAAAATTTCAAATCTAGAAATCTAAAATTAAAAAATTTTCAAAATTAAATAAAACTTCCTTTCGATATTTTACCACTTTTTCCACAAAAAAGAGAAATTTGCCTCTCATCCTATTCACCATTTTCTCAAAATTTGTTCGTTCCATCATAGTTAAAAAATCATCACAGAAATGATTGAAAAAATCGTTTCGTTGCAACGCAAGAGAGAAGAATAAATATAAGACACTTGGTACAGATTCATATGTTAAGGTTTATTAGGACAGTAACGATGATTGCATTACAGTTCAGTAACTTATGCGTGAAATGTTCCGGCAAGAGCCTCAAAACAGAATAAGAAAATACATCCGCCACTAGCGGATACCATAGTCGATGCTCCGATCAATGATTGCGCTTTGTCCGGAGCATGACTACGATGCTTTTGAACAGTTTTAACCGCAGGACAAAGTTTGGAGCGCCCCAGGCGCAACTTTGATAACTCGCAGGTCCCAGTAATATGCGGCGTGTAAGGATAAAAGTTTATTTTTGTATTTCTCTTTTCTCTTTATTTATTCATTTTTTTTTCCTTGGACTCAGGAACTTGCTGCTAGGCCGCCCCTGAACTTCCTGCCTAATTGTGTGGGAGCGCTCGTTGAGTCGTATAATCGCAAAGAGGTTGAAGTTTTCTTCTTCTTTCCTTTTCTTTTTTAATAAACTATTCAACTAGTTAAGTCGTTCCCTTGTACACATAGATCCTCCTTTAAATTGTATACAGGTGTACTAATCATTCGCAAACTGAACTCAACTCGGCGCGCTCGCGCGTGTTTCTCTTCTTTTTTCGTTTTATTACCGTGGGTAAAATTAATTCTTCTTTCTAGAACCAGCGTAAAACATATATATATATATCTCACCTAACAAGTTTCAGAAGCGCGTAATTATCGAATTCTCTGCCTTCTTTTCATTCTTTTTTTTAATACCTAACCTCTAAAATACAATCGATAAGTTTCATTATTTCGAATCAAGGCGGCTTTTATATAGTTGCAACGTACAACGCGCAACAGAAGGAATTCAGGTTTCATGCTTTATTCGCTGTCTAAATGAATAATATCAGCCAGGAAGGAAACCAGAGTGCGTAAGAAAAACCAGAGGGGCAAAATTAATTCAGTTATTACACTTCTTCAGTTCGAACGAACAAACGCTATACGATTTATAAATTCTTCTTCTTCTTTTTTTTTTTTCGCATTTTTTTCTTTTTAATACTTAACTTTCGTAACGCATTGAGCTTATCGGTACAGAAACGAGAGGAAAGGAAGAAAAGAAATATTGGCATCGGTGACAGGCAGCAGCTCGAACGGATTGAATGTAACAGTATTTACAACGTGATAGCTATATGTAAAAGCATTTTCGCCAATTCGGGTGTACAACTTCCTAATAGTGGTTTTTTTTTTCTTCTCCTCTTTTCTGCCATCTTTATCCCCCGTTTCATAGACAACATAGAAATAACAACGAACGGAAGTGATAACTTGTTCATATACATTATACAGTTCCTCTTTCTCTTTCTTCTTACTTTCTCACACGCACAGTGACGTTCATTATTACACTCATACTCCGTATTATTTCTTCTTCTTTTTTTGTTCTTTTTTTTTTCTTTTTCTTTCATCTTTCTTTCATATAAATCAACTAGAAACTCGGGAGAAGTAGTCAACGCATTATAAACCTATTAAAAAATATTCACAGTAGTCTAACATACACAATGACAGTATTGCTACCTATCTTTATTCATGTACCTTCTCGTCGGATACATAAATTTTGATATTGAATTCGTAAGAGTTCAATTTTCTTCTCTCCTAAGAGAGATCCTTTCGCATTACAACTTCGAACATCGGCGACGATATTATCGGTGGTACAATTCTTGGTTCGCCATTTTTCTCGGGATCTTCGACATTGGCGCGCCACAATAACGTGTAAAAACCACACCTCGAATTCTGTTCCTGGTTTTCTATATTTATCGCGGTTAAGCTCGAGAAAGTCGGCTTAGCTTTATAGTTTGCCGGGTCTTTTTTCTGTAGTTTGAAATAATTTTCCGGGGAAAGTAGCGCCGGAGGTTTGCCCCGCGACGAAAACGTTTCCCGCAGAAACTGTCGATTAACTTCGACGTTTAACGACTTTCTGTCTGGTTCTGTGGCAGTGTGCCGTTACGTTGCATTTTCTCCAATGCCTCTTTCTCTCTCTCTGTCGTCGTCTCCACTCTGTATATCGATCGTTAAACATTTATCTTTATTGATTGCATCTTAAGTGAACGAAGTTTGAACACAGAAGTCTTGTGTATCACGTTTTACCCTATCAAACCTCTCAGCTGCGAACTTGTTACTCTGTTTCCACCTTCGTTATAATGGCGCAACTGTTTCTGCACATTTTGTTAACCATTCGCCCCTTGTTTCGGCTTTCGACTAACAGAGTTTCGTTATTTCTTAAGTTTATGGCTGATTCGAACGATAGTTTATTCAGGAGAAAATGAAGGATCAGTATTGCGAGGCGAAGAGGTGAGAAGTTGAAGTAGAGACGGTGGAAAGGTGTATCGAAAGTATTCGAATTGTTTACACAAGTGTGATATATGTATACTAGTGTGAGAAGAATTTGGAAATGAATTTATTATTACTTGGTATGTAGGTTAGAGTAATTTCTATTTATACAGCCTTGGTCGAAAGTATTAGACACCACGCGAAGTATGAATTAATTAAAAATAAATTAAAATTGTTGTATTGAGAGGAAATGAAACTATTCACATGTGAAAACAATCATCTTTTATTCATTTTGTCATTTGACAATTGCAGAAACTTTTTCTTACTTTTATCTTGATTAAGAAAGAAAAGAAAGTAACTTGCATCGATGGTTACTCGTTTCGAGAAAAACTTTCCAACTCTCAAAATATTAACAGCAAAATTGAAGACAAGCTGACGTTTATTAGCTGTGAGTACCAACAGCAGATTGTGAGATTTGAGAAGAAGCAGAACTATGAATCACTCTGTTGTTTTACGACCCGCTATAAACCTTGTCAGCTGTTCTAAAATTCCTTTGAACTGGCCGACAAAGGAAGAGGAACAATGGAAAGGTTTCAAGGAAGTAGTTTTCGCAGTCAGTTGCAATAATCAAGGTGTCTAACACTTTTGGTCAAGATTGCATGTTTATACAACTAACGAACTTAAGAAGTTAGCTTTCTTTTTTTTTTTTTTTCGTAGAACAAGATTGATTTTTCGCACAGGTAATTTACACTTGTCTCATTCTAGCAAAGTTTAATTAAATTTACGTCTAATATGTGTTGAATGATAAATGAAATTTTTTTTTCCTTTTTTTTTTTTGCAAAATATTGACACCAGATTCAGAAAATTATTTCAAACTATTCTCCTGATAATCAGCACAGCTGTAATTGTCCCGATTAATCGTTAAAGTTATTGCTCTTTCTCTCTAAATGTTCAAGTGGCAAATTTCGACGGCCATCTTTCATGATGTTACTTGATTTGATTAATCGAACACGCGTGTGTGTGTAAGTACTTTACTATGTCTGACGAATTACGCTTTTCGTTCGCGAGATTCATATCGTTTTTCGGTATCTTTTTCTTCCGTTCTTTCTTTTACCTTTGTTCATATTTATTTATTTAATCGTATCGGAACGTTGATAAATATGACGTTGGATCGTAGATCGTTTTGATCTCTGGTTCGAATGGTTATCTCGTGAACCATCCTGTAAACTATTTTATTCGTATTACGAACTCCCTTCTATTTTCTCGTGAATAATCAGACTTGTATTCGTTTTCTAATGAACTAAGAAGGAATGGAAACATCACAGTCATATAGAGGATGCAATTAATAAATATGTTCGTAGTGTACTTAGGAAGGCGAATTTTTCGTGTGTCTCTGTTCACTATACGTATGACTTTCGAGTAAATTCTTCGGACAGATAGTTTATAGCGATTTAATAAATTCGTTTCCGTACGAGGAGAAAAACATTAACAATTCAGCACTTTTGGGTACATCATGCTACAACAAATTATAGACTTATACCATTACTTATACAACTCTCGTAATATCCTCTCTTCGTACGCGTTCGTTAAGTATACTAACGGGGAATAGTCTTGAATTCGTAACGTTGAAAAGATTATGAAATTTTTAGTAAGTGCGTGTCGCGTATGTCGATAAGTAGCCCGTATTCTGCTCAAAGTTCTTTGGAAAAGAGAAAATAATTGATGATCGGTATACGAGGTACAACGAATTTTCGAAAAATTACACTTTCACTGAAAAATCATATTTGCTCTGATAATTCATATTTTCACCGAAAAATTATACTTTCACTGAAAAATCGTTATTTTCACTGAAAAATCATATTTGCTCTGAAAAATCATATTTCATACACTGAAATTTCTTTGATCACTGAAAAATCATATTTCACATACTGACATTTTTTTGCACCTTTCTACCATAAAAACTATCGAGCGTTGAAAATTTGGTCAATTTTTATCCGATCGCGAATTATTTACATTCATCAAATAATCAAACTATAAAATTAATTTGCAAACTTTCATTACAGCGAAGACTTTCAGCAAATTCGAATAAAAAACAGAAAAATCCGCGCGTTACTCGTGAAAATATTTCACACGTCTACCTGAAATTTCACAACTTTTCGAATCGCCGAATCTTCCCCGGACAAGTTCAAATACTTCCTCGTATCTCCCCCCTCCCCCTCCCCCTTTTTATTGCCAATACTTTTCTCCGTGATGGTTGTACTAAAATGATGAAGAGTGATCGATGATTGGGGTGACAGATTAGCGGTGGTGTGACATAGGTCTAATAAATGAATCACGATGTTTTCTCTGTGTGTATATAATCTTCAAGAAGATCGACTTTGGTATCCCTTTGGCAATTTCATTGACGCAAACGATGTAGCCACTTTCTCTGATACGCCGAATAGTGGAGGATTTCGGATGGCTCCTGTCCTCGAAGTTATAGTTCGTTGTAAATTGAGCCAAGATCCGTCCAAGTAGTTGCCGATCGTGATTAAAGCGAAACTCGGCCAAAGAGAAGAGGGCTCATGTACAGCAACACCAGCAACGTTGCACCTTTAACAAAAAATAAACCAGCCAGACTTGTGATTACCTTGACGCGATCGTGATAATCATGAAAATGTTTCTACGCCGTGGAGGGAAAAAAAAGGGGTGGACGGTAGAGTTTGACAACGAGTCTCGGTGTAAGGAAAGGACGGATGTAAAACACGATAACAGGGCATTTACGATAGCATAAATAACTACTGCTATGTGGCATCCGCTTCCCTTAAGTCTTCTCGTAAATACCCATTTGGCGCAACGACCGCGCTCCAAATGGGAAAATATTGTCTCCGTAATTGTCTACGTAAATCTGCGGAAGAATAATGCTCGTGAAATAATCTACACGAGGACGATCACTCTTAGTCGATGATATCTCGATTTTTAGTATGTTCAGTGGTGTGGATAAGTATTGGGACACCCGTCACGTTCTTGTTGAAAGTATTGTGTTATTTAAATTGTATTTTCTTGTGATAGTGTGATATGTTAGTAAAAATGTTTACATGTGCTTGTTACACTTCGAGAGTCTAGAATGAATAATTTTTGTTTAGGATTTTAGTAACATTGAAATGATTTTTTGGAATTGGAGATTTTTGGAAATGATTTTTCAATAATTTTGTATTGAATTTGTGATGAGAAAGAGGTTTGCTTCATATTCGGCAAGCAGATTTTAGTAGGTCTCGGTAAATTTTAGTAGAATTCAGTAGAATTGAGCAGACTTCGGTAGACTTCAGTAGAACTCGGTAGAATTGAGCAGACTTCGGTAGAATTCAGTAGATTTCCGTAGGTTTCAAGAGATAATTAGTACAATACAGAAGATTTCAGTAAAATTTAGTAAGATTTTTTAATTTTTAAGAATTTTAATTTAATTTAATTTTTTTTCTAAAAGTTTTCCTAGATTTTAGTAAAATTTAGTAGATTTTAGTGGATTTCAATAGATTTCAGTAGAATTCAGTCTGGAAAAATTCTTTTTATATCACAATCTTTCATCCCAACATCAGTTATTATTTATAATTTACAATTTGCTTGTTCAATTCTTCATACGCGAAATTCGTTTTTGCAATAATTCAACCCACATGCCATTTTCCAATATTTACATGTACGTGTTTTTCGTATACGCGGTTCTTTCATTTAATATCACCTTTCTAGTGCAGAATTAAATATTGCAAGTAATTAATGAAAACCGCACGGTGAGCTTTATCAAGCAACCGTTGCTTAAATAATCTGTATAATATTTTCAGCAATGTTAAAAGCTTCCATTATTTGAAAAACATAATTACCGTTGCTTTTATAAGTGGATTAAGTTGAAATGATTAAAGTGAACTACGTTGAAACATTGTAAATTTTAATGGCATTTAAAACGGCGAGATTTAATGTACGCACAAAAGTAAATTAAATTTCTTTTCACTTCGTCTTTAATTAAAACTCTACTCGATCAGAAACTGCGCGTGAAAAAAAGAAAAATTCATTTACAGCTTTTACAGACTTTTACTTGTTTATCTAAACGATCACTTTAAGTTGTTTGTTCGTAATTAATTATTCTGCTCTAAAGGGACAATTTTCATTTTTCTCGTTTTTCTCTAATGGCGTACACAACTCCATCGTTTTGTAACATTTTTACTTTTCAAAAATTGCAGAAGAAAACTGAAGAAACTTGAAACTTTTCATTCGGCAGTTACCAACGAAAAAAATTCGGAAGCTTTCGCCTATTTTTAGAAGCTTCACGGTGATGTACCTAAAACCTAAACCTGATCTCACCGGTGCACCTCAAGCCTAATACGAATAATTGGGACACGTTTACACGCGTCGAAGTGTCCTCCGATATTTACATCTCCGCAACAGTATACGGTGCAATAAATTTCCAGCGTCTCTCGCATTGATCTGCATTACAAACGAACTGCGGTGATTTTCGTTTCGTTGCAGTGTCGATATAGGGGAAATCTTGTAACGCGGTATTCTCGAACGAGCACGTCGGTGGTAATTATATTCGAACGGGAACAAGGGGTGACAATACTCGTAGGAATAACAGAAAAATTGCAGAAAGGATAATAAAAAATCTTAGGATAAAAGTAACCTCTGTTTCGTAACGAATCGAAGGTTTGTAAGTTCGTAAAAAATAGCAGCAAAGTATCCTCTGTTTCCTAACGAATCGAGGGGTTACGCAATGGTGTGTGGCGGTAAATATCAAAGAGCAATGATGTAATCAGGAGTACCGAATTCTCCGGGTGCATTTCTTGTAGAACAGAGAGCACGAATTCGAAGAGAACGTGCAGCTATCGACGACTATAAATACGCCACGGCCGTGTTCTATTTACAGTTTGTTCCAGAACAATGCCGTCCAATTGAATTTTATCAGTCGCTCTCGGTGCGCGGCACGCGTAATAATTGCCTCTGTTTAGTTTCACCGAATCCTCCTTTTTTTATTTCCTGTTTCCCTTTTTTTTTTCTTTTCCTGTGTGTGTGTGTGTGTCCAACCTGCTCCCCTCTTCGTCTATTCCATTAACAGCGGGAGCCTGTACGAGGGGAATCGAGCCGAACGCATTAATTACTTTCATGATCGACTAAATTGCACAGACTGATGCTGCCGGATTGTATTGTTCTGCTTCTATGCTCACACCGTGCCCGTTCCACCCGCTACATCCATGCAATTTTCCTTTTAATTTAGCTTCCAATTTCTTTTCGAACTGTCCCCCCAGTCTCCTCCCGCCCAAATTCTTCTTCGGGGGAAAATGTTACTCTCTGTCGAGAAGGAAATAAGGTTTTGATCACGTCTTTTTTCTTCTTTAGATAACATTTCGAGTAGGTAAATCTAATTTGATCTTTTGGACGTCACAGAACGTGCAACTGTGGTACAATTTTGAGACAGAATGTTGTATGGGAGATTAAAAAAGATAACTGAAGAATTTATATTATTTCTATTTTTTGACAATTGTTAATTTATTCCTCCTAAGTTATACAGAGTATGTCACCTTAAGTATGTGTGACCTTAAACTCTAAAATTTGAAGTCAAACGTGAAACTTTCATTTTTTCCCATTTTTTTCCATTGAACAAATTTTCCTTCCGTTTAATTCACCCCTTGAAGCCATTTAAATTGCACAAACATTTTCTCCTACCTCACCCACATACGGAAGATAATTAGGTGACTTATTTTACACGCGGTATGCTAGTGAAATAAGAAGTTGGAGAATTGAAATGTGCAAATTGAAAAAGAATCGCGGTAAATTTGAACGAACGCGAAGAGAATCGTGTAATCACGATTAAAACGCGAGAAATCGCGCGCGCGTTCGTACGAAACGCGAACAATTAAGCGACGTTTCAACGTAAACGGGATATTATTTTCAAGCGTAACAAAGCAACGAAATAGAGTGTTGTTGTAAAGTGTAAACCGGTCGAGTTCGAATTAATGGAAACGTTAGAATGAAAATCTCGGGGGATAGAGCAAGCCCACCGTCATCGATGAAACACGCTCGCTACGATTCGTATTTAATATGTCATTACATAAATTAAATTCATTCAATTAATGTACGAATAGGCTATATATTTCAGGTCTCTTTGATCGGATACGCTATTACAGGCCATCGGTCTGTTACTAATTGCTCGTTTTCTGTCTCTACCGTCTGAAAACCGTAGCTTCTCTAATATTTCGTTAGGACTACTTGTTGATCACCGCCCCTTAATATTCTCTGATTTTTTAATGGTTCCATCCTTTGTATCGTTTTTATATGCAAATGTAATTAGTTTTCATGCATGAACGCCAAGGCAATTTCGGAGATTATACCTCAATCCTGTTACAGTAATTTCGATTCCATTTAACTTTCACAGGATTCAATTGAACAACCTATTTCGATTTTTTCCTGAAATTAATCCCTTCGTCAATTTACTCATAAATTATGAAATACGAGCGAGAGAATTCGTATTATTACCGCCGGGTGTAACGAATGCTTTCTATTAATCGCCTTTGATTGTGTTAGTAAATCCTAAAATGAGCTCTGTGCGTCTGATTATCTAACCTAGCGATCTGTTTGACGGACGATTTTTTTTAAAACGTGCTGTGCCAATTGTTAAATTGCAGGTGCAAAGTGCAGGTAGTTCACTTTGGAGTGCTTTTTAATAGAATTTATTTGAATTTATTTAAATAGTTTCACTTTATCAAGAATTTAGAATTTTTAGAAGTTAATTTAAATAGTTCCACTTTATCAAGAATTTAGAATTTTTAGAATTTAATTTAAATAGTTTCACTTTATTAAGAATTTAGAATTTTTAGAATTTAATTTAAATAGTTTCACTTTATTAAGAATTTAGAATTTTTAGAAGTTAATTTAAATAGTTCCACTTTATCAAGAATTTAGAATTTTTAGAATTTAATTTAAATAGTTTCACTTTATTAAGAATTTAGAATTTTTAGAATTTAATTTAAATAGTTTCACTTTATTAAGAATTTAGAATTTTTAGAA